TTTCGTTTTTTTTTTTTTTTTTTTTTTTTTTTCATTTTTATGCAGAACTATCTATCCATTTCTCTATAACATTACCGTATAAAAATTCTCGCACAATCCTACTCGTGATCAATCAACAATTTCAATATCCTGTAGTTCTGTATTCTGAGAGCAAATATTTCGCTCGGAAAAATTGAAATACACCTCTTGTCGTACAATTCTCACAAATGTAATAAAAAAAATATTTTTTGTAAAAATTCGTTCCGCGTACGTCACGGTGACGTTCATTTTGATTTTTTGATATTTGCTTTTCATTTCGATTCTCACACAAAGCGATACTAAAACAACGAGATACTAGAGAATAAGAGAGATTGTCGATATGCTTATTCAAATATTAATTATAATCATATTTGTAAATATCACGTTGCTTATATAATTACGAGAGAGTGCATCTTAGAATTAAAAAAAAAAAAAACATCTGATGTCATTTCTGAGGTCATTACTATGCTTGCTGTACTTGTGACATTTTGCAATGAACACTCGGTAAATCGTTTACAACTGTATGTAACGAGTCGATATTTGCATAGTCTTTGCACGAATGAATGATTCTATTAAAGCAAACGCTTTGAAAGTGATATATGAACAGTTCATTATTCCTGTTTATTATTCGAGAAATAAATATTTGATAAATATTTCTGAACATTTATTTAAAAAATAGAATATTTATTATTAATTTGTTACTAACGTAATATACTATCAAACTTCTGTTTTTAAATGTAAATGTAATGAGTGAAGTTGAACGAGAAATAAATCTTAGTTACTGTAAATTTTCAGATTAATATTAAATTTTATTAAAAGTTTTGTAACATTTTCCATTTATTTTATCGCGTTTAAAATATGAAGATATGCTTGTTTAAAAAAAGAAGTTGTACCATTACACATCTCTTTCAATTCAAGTCAATTATTGAATGTATTATTGTATCTTAAGATCATTTTCATCTTTATCCATTTAGAATAAATAGAAAATAATCAAAAATTTTGTGAATTTTTGTATATTCAAGTGACAGTTTAAACATTGCAAATCAATTTATATTTTTATTCTATTTTTTTATATTCAAATACTGAGAAATAATAATGTAATAAAATAACAATAGAGCAATAGAAATATGTTTAACGAAAAAATTACCTTTATCTATTTAATTATGAATAAAAAAAATTACATTTTATTTAATTTTATTCCTAACCTCTTTTACTAAGAGCCGTAAATTTTAGCGGTCTAACATGAATTTGCTATAGTCACTTATAATACCTATATGTTAATATATTATATGTTTAATTAAAGTGAAGTAAAGCTTATGATATTTAATTTTATTTTGAATTTTATATTATAAATATTTGCAATCAAGCAAGATTGAATTAAAAATTTCGAAATTAAATTTAATTCTAAAACTTAATTCTAAACTTAACCTTACAGTCTGCAATTGTTATAGTGTCACTACCAATATTTTGTACATTGGTAGTTGTCTTAAAATTTTAAACTTTACTGTGCAAGATAAAGAAATGCAGTACTCACCATGATGATAACTGGAATGATTCGCATACGAGTGTAGAGGACATGTAAAGTAAACTTAAAACGGTTGGTTTTTGTGCTTCATGTCACGTGTATTAAACACAATCGATTTGAAAAATTTAACGCAACCACCACGTCCACGAGTCTTCGGCCAACTGAATCCGTTTCTCAAGGCGCGCTAACAACGTACCACTTGCGCAGATTGGATGCGCAGTGCGTTTCAAAGTAGATTCTTCCGCTAGGGTCAGACAAAACGCGCTCCATAGATATTCCTATTGCTCCAACGCTTATACACTTTTTCTACTTTTATTTGAATTGACAGAAAAGACAAATGAATCGGATTTTTGCTTAAAATTCCTCGTGAAGTTGAAATTAATTTCGTTACAAAATGAATTTTGAAGTGAAATGTTCGAGAACATGAAATGATCTTTCTTATGTGATATAAGATTTCTTATAATGATATAAAATCGTAATTGGAATACTAAAGAAAGTAACAAAATTTATTTGTTAACTAATATTATTTGTTAATTATTATTCGTTTAGCAAATACTCATTAATTTACTATTACTAATAGGAATTTAATAGGAATTTAATTTATTACATCATTATATAAATTTATTAATTACATGCGAACACAATTATTCCGGGCTAAAGTTATATTATTATATTGTTAGAAATATATGCAAAGCAATTTCGGAAACGTCGAAATTACAAATTAATGTTTATTTTACTTCGTACATATTGCGAGAAAAGTACAATGATTTCGCGAATTAAATTGTTATTACAATCTTAAATAAACGGCCGTGGTGATTGTAAATATTAATTAAATATATTTATTGCATTACTATGTTTATTTTGGCCGCTTTGAATTTAACAAAATAATTTCAATTCCCTATTGAATTTTTTAATTTATATCATTGAAGGCCGGACTGTAGTTAATTGGCCACGTGTAGTTAATTGGCCAAAAATAAAATACGGACGTCATAATAATTACCAAATAATATTCTCACAGCGGAACAGGCGAGGGAGTTTAACCGGGTGCAAGGTCGGCCTTTATTGGACTGTTTTCTAGCCCGAGACTTTCTAGAAATATCATCACTTGTCTCAAATCTTTTATTCTCAAATGCTGCATGCTACGATCAAATTGTTTATTCAAAATATAAGTAGAAAGTGGATCATTTCAACCAGTCCATTATTTCTATTTTAAAAGTGACATCAACAAAATATATCAATATAACATCAATAAAATACATCATAAATAGTATGAACCTATCTCGATAAGAATTTATTCGACTAAATTATAATGCAGGGATCGACAGTACAAATATATTACAAATATATACAAATACAAATGTATTATATTTTTATTTAAATAATCAAAGTCTATCATATTTTTCATATATTTGTAGTTCTATAGTTCTCATGAAATACATCGTGATAAATATAAACATATGCGACACGGAATCATTTAACTGAACTTATAGAATATATTTTCATCTCCAAAACCTGATTAGAACACAACTTCCTAAATTCAGTCTTAACACGAGATTCCTTCTGAATCTACCAAAATATCGAACGATCCCTTGACAATTGCCCATCATCGAGGCAATTCGTCATTGTTCTTTCCCTTTACTTTGCTTTGACGTTTCGGGCGGAACTCGGGGTTGAAATTATCGTGTGCTATATCCCGACAAGAGCTCCGGGGTTGGAAACGTAACCCGACAATCGAAACCGTCCGCGTGTCGATTATGCGCGACGATGGTCTAAACCGCGAGAATTATCGGTGAGTCGCGCGATCCGCTTGTCAGAGGGACGCGTACGTTGGCGGCGTTCAATGTCGCGAAATCGTCGACTGTCTTGAACGAGTGGGACGGTCGTGCGACATCGCTGCCTTCCGACCGGCAGGAACATGAAATCGAAACCCGACCGCATCGCCGAGAACGCAAATTCGTCCACGTGTCGGAGACGTCGAAACCCGGACCCCGTGCACCGTGCCCGCCCGACGCCGAATCATCCATCACGATAATGAGTCAATTGACCCCGTCTCAGCAACCGTCAGGTCAAACCCTCCACGCGATACCATACTTTCTTAACCCTAGAAACTCGAGTTGTCCATGTGAATTTCTAAGATGGAGCTGCTCGAACTTCTCCTTGTATATATTTATCTGCGGAGAAGTCGATCACTTTTAATTCACTTGCTTCTGGAATTTTTAACTTCACTGATCTACTGCTTCCGGAATTTTTTAATTTCACTTAATCCTGCTTCTGAAATGTTTAATTTCATCTAATTTCGTTAACCTCGATTTTCTCGGAATCTTTGATTTCGTTTCGTTTCGTCTCGTCAGTGAGCGAACATTGGAAGGTTTCTCAGAAAAAGAAAATTGAAAGGATTAAGGCTTGTGGACGAGAGAAGTTACAGGATTTCGATGCAGTTAAATTAATATTAAATTGCAGCTGGAGATAAATGACTAATTAATTTTTGATATTTTAATTCATTTAAATGAATTATTACACGAAAAATTCGTAAACAACAAGATTTACTACAATTTACTATGATGAAAGCTTCTTCTTTTCTTTTTTAAATCTATATATGCATGCTTTTGAAATTAATATTATTATTATTATTGATAATTACAATTGTAAGCTGTAATTAAAGAATGTGGAATGTGGTTTGTTGAAAAATTTAGAGAACAAAGAATCCGTCAGCGTTACGGAAAAAAGTGCGATGTCAAGTCCAGGAACCAAGTCTGCATATCAAAAAAATAGACTTCTATACGGTCAGTCAGGACGTAGTTCGATTCAGGTTTGTATTTATCGTAATTCTACCTAATTCTATTATTTTGCTCGATGATTTAAAGCAATTTTATTTAATAATCGAATATCTAATAACGTAGAGAATTTGTAGATTAAAAATAATTAAAACATTTCGAGATACGAAAAATTCGGTGAAAGATATAACCGCAATTTCAGGGAGATTTCGCAAGTAATACCACAGAAGATACTTCCGCTAGTAATAAATCGCAGAGCAATTCCGCTCGACGTACGCCAGCAAAATCATCAGTCAGCCCAATTTCGTCAAAGAAGCTCTCCTCCACTTTGCCTGCCGGATCAACGCTGAGACCCGAAAATCAATATGCAATGAAAAAGAAACGTTATTTACTACTGAAGAAGGAATTGACGGACAAACAAGTATGTAATTATTTTTTACGATTCTTCGATTTCGTAAAAATTACTTAAACTTGATTGTTGTGAGCAACTGTTGTCAAAAATTATCGATTGAATTGGAATTTACATTTGAATTGTTATATTCTATAGCATCATATCTTTATATTAATTCTTTTTAATTATTATTGTAAAAATAATAAATACTTTTATATCCTGGCGCACGATGGAGATTTTTTTTTATTATATTTTCCTTTTCGTACTCTCAAAAAAAAAAATGTATACGTGTTCCCATGCAAAAGCTACATCTCGTTCTCAGAAGTTGGTATATTTCTAAAATACTTTTCGCCAATATCAACAAAGTTTCATTTCACTTTTCCGTTGTACAATCCGAACAACGCAATCTTCCAAAAAGGCTAACGCCAATTTAAATTTGAAATACCGACAGAAAGTCGCGCAAGATCTCTACAACGAGATGTCGCAGCTTCGCGACAAGTTAATTAACAGCGGTGCGAGAGATCCAGGCAAAGTGGAAACTCTGAAGTTCGAAATTGGATCTAAACACTTTCCGCCGGCCGAACCAACCTACAACGAGACAGCGAACGTTCACGTGGAGAAACTGTCCGTTGGAAAAGAGCTGCTCGAAACTCTGGAGGATCGGTTGCGGGAGATCCCGAAGAAGTTGCGCGACCTTTGTCAACAACTATTAGAAAAACAGTCGAATTTCGTGGCTTTCGTTACCACGCATCTGATCGAAGCCAGCACGGACGTGGCCGAGCCGGATCATGCGAACTCGGAGGTAATCATGAAACTCGAGGTTCACCAAAGAGAGAACGACGCACTTCGTTCGCGCATAGACGAGATGCAAGAGATCGAGGAGAGATCGATCGCCGAGTTAACGAGGAACGTGAAGCATCTGATCGACGAGTACGAGCATTCCAGGGCGAAGATAAAAGAGTTGAACGCGGCGGAGGCTCAGAAAGAGTTGCAAACGCAATTGAACGCCACGACGGAGGAGTTGCAGACGGAAAAAGAGAGAAACAATCAGAGCAAAGAGCGTCTTCGACAAACGGAGTCGTTGCTACAAAAGGCGCGTACGAAGATCAGAGAGATGGAGACGCAAGTGACGAACGACAAGGAGAAAATTCAGCAGCTGCAGGGCAACGTGAAGACCATGGAAGGTCAAATGAAGCAAAAGGATTTGGCGATAGATATTAGATTGAAGGATATGCATAAGTCGATGAAAAACAACGAGGATCTCGTGGCAAAGGTGGAAAAGCAGAGGGACAGCTTTGAAGCACGGTTGTTTCCTTTTTCTTTGTTTTCTCAAAGTTCCTCTCTTTTACTTGGTTTCTTGACTTTGTTCGCTTTAGGTTGGTCGAGCTTAAAGAGAAGATGAATAGCAAGGAAAATGAAGCGATGAACACTGTCAAGGAGCTGTCTGAAAGACTGAAAGCAGTTACCGCCGATCTTAGAGTTGAACATGAGAAGAGGTATGAAGAAAATCTTTTTAATTACGAAGTATATGGCTACTGCAATTAGAAGATTAATTTTCTTCGAACTTCGGAATATAAAATGATTTGATGTTTGAAATAGGCAACATGTGGAAGACGCGTTTATGGAATTAGAGGAGCGGTACAAGAATCTCGAAGACAAGAGCAAACAGTTGTGTGAGCTTGCGGAAAAAAATAAAGACTTCACTATTACAGGTAATTAAAAGCATAAGAAGAAAAACAATTGTAACTAAAAAAAAAAAAAATATTCGTGAATTTTCTTTATTTCTAAACTAGCATAAAAATACGATATTTTATTTATGATAAAAACCGATATTTAAAATTGTTATAATTTCGTAAAAACATCGATAGTGCACTTGGTCTCATTTTAAAGCGACGAAATGCTCGTCGAATACTAAAAATTCAAAATATTGAAAAAAAAATTGCACAGCAAGTTTTAAGAGATTGTTGTAAAGAGAAAATTTCATTCTTCAAGATTATGATCTAATAATGAAAAAAACTTTTCAACATTTTTTAAAGATGTTTGTATTTTCACAATTTTCGGGAATAAGAATATCTTTGTCGAAAGTGAAACCAGGTGAATTGTTATATGATTTCTTTTTACAAAGTTATAACAGTTCAAAGTACTTCAACAAAACAATGGTCACACTGTAAATGAATAATTTCTAATATTAACATCTAATCTTAGTTCCATCGAAGAAAAGTGCAATCTTTATATTAAAACGAAAGTTTAACGTGCATGTTTCGTTTTACTTACCAGAGGGTAGTCATACAGAGAACGAAGTACGCCTGTTCAACGAGTTGCAGGCAACCAAGACCGAACTGGAAGCGCAGAGGCAGATGAACTCGAAGCTGCAGGAGGAGAAAGAAGAAATCGTCGCAGTAATGCATCAAGCGGCCGTTAGTTTGCACTACTTTCGGGACATGTCCTCGTATAAGTCATAAGAGCTGCTCAATTTTAATCTCTCCGTTTGTTAAATCCTCTTTTATTCCAATCAACTAGAAGATTGTAATTTTTAATTATTTCTTTTTCGCTTGTTCTCGTGAGCTAGTGTCGCGAGGAGGACGAAGATTCAAGGGAGAAATTGGTTGCGCAATTGGTATTCAAATCCAACGAACTCCAGAACTTGATGATACAGTATTCGGAACTGAAAAAGGTTGCAAAAAACGCGTAAGTTGCTCTATTGTTAGTGTACTGTATTATCACAATGCTAAATTGCATGATTTTCTGAAAAATTCATTCAAAAATTCGCTATGATGTAAAAATATAAAAAAAGATTAGTCTACGATAAAATTAAATTACTGTCAGACTGCAGATTTTTTTATGCATGTGTAAGAAATTAAAGAGCGTAAGAATGCTTATAATGTAGAATATTTCTATAATATACAGATTAACCAACTATACGAACTTCTATTTAAGCTCCATTTCTTTAGTCATGATCACAGAAATATAAAAATGTAAAATATAAAAATCTGCAGTCTAACTGTTACTTTTGAAAATATCAAAAGTTATCTCAAATTGTCTCATGCAAAAGCACTTCGAATAATGTACTTTCTCCTCATTTTCATCGGACAATTTAGCCAAGAAAAAAATGGGATCTTAGAAAGGCAGTTGATAGACATTCAAACGCTGCTGCATTCACAGTCCATGGAGGGTGGAAGAACTGGGTTAAGCGCTCATGCGATTGAGCTTCAACAACAGGTTTCCGATCTGCGCAATAATTTGGTAGAAGTGATTCAGCAAAAAGAGGAGCTGGAGACTGCATTGAGTCAGAAGCATTTGGAGTTGGAACAGCGCGATCGTGTGATGCGTGAGCAGAGCAAGTTTCTTAAAGTCAGAGACGAATTGCTTGATATCTTGAAGGGAAAGGCACAACAAGAGAATGGAGAATTATCCAATAGTAATGAGAACAACGAATATCTTGAACAGGTAATTAAAAAAGTGTTCAATAATAAAATTTCTATAAAATATTTGTATGATTTATAAATCATTTCCTAACATTCTTTGACAGTTCTAACATGAAATGTAGAGCATATAAATTTTGTGAAACATTGTTATACTCATTTAAATATATAATTACAAATTTTTTGTATCGTTAAAAGAATAGAACTGTTCAAAGAAATTGGACAATGTTTTTCTAATCATTCAGATTCACGAACAGATAGCCGCCAAAACGGAGGCGATTCAAGAGTTGTACACGACGCTAGAGAACAAACAGTTGCAAATCATGCGTTTGGAGAAGATGGTGAAGTTAATGGAGGACCACCAAGATCGAGCCCAGGCTCAACGCACCCGTTTGGAGAATCGCATCGCTCAACTAGAGCTGACTTTGCAAAGGAACAAAGAACAGCGGTATGTTAGGGAACAATCGTCATCTTCTATAAAGTTTCACATGGAAATTGAACGAGATAGATTATCGCAGGATTATATTAGCGATTCTGATCGAATTCTTTCAAAAGATTCCTTCAACTTGCCTTCGTTCAATCAGCACGATTCGATTAGTAGGAGATCGGAATTTTTATCTGGTACTGGTCCTTCACAAATTGATCACCGACAGTTACATAATTACGGAGACTATACACAGCGACAGACATCCTCCGACGAGGACCAGCCTTATATTTGTGAACGTTGTCGACAAGAAACATTCGCAGAAAAAAACAACGAACCTTGGTTGAGTAAAAACGATTCCACCGAAAATATGGACGAATTTTCTCGTAATTGGTTGACGAACGCGTCCAGTCTGGAAATAGATCAACATTCGATGAATACTCGCGATTTCCAAGACAGTAAATATTTTTATAATTCTCCTTCGATAGATAGAAATAGGAGATATACCTCTAGGATGTATAATCTACATGAAGAGTTCGATAACATGGACGATAGTAGCAGGGAGTCGCAAAATCCTTATCAAAGAGAATACCATCAGTATCATCATCTTCATCGTCGAGTTCGGTCGCCCTTGGTAAATAGGACCATACCTCATGGTGTCACCTTGTAAACTATATATAGCTTAAGACATAGTTGAGGTTCAACACACACAATAACTTTCTGCAATTTTGGAGGACTTGTTTCATCAACGTAGGGATAAATGGTTTGGGTTCGTGGTATTATTAAATTTCACACACACAATTCTCTTGAATTATTTCTTGCACAAAACCGATACAACAGACATGATGCAAACAATCTATTGAACTTAATTCAATTAAATTTTCTGAAAGTATTACCGTAAGAATATTATTCAGTGATTATAAATAACATTTATAGTGGTTACCAATATGATCAAGTAAAAATTTCTTTCTATATACAGCTTTTAAGCATAGTTTCATGTAAAAACAATTAGTAAAATATATTGTAAATAAATTTGTATGTTGTATTAATAAGGTCTGATTTAATAGGCTAGGTACTCCCTGCTACCGAGTTTTCAATGTTATATCGTTGATATAAAAGTTCCTTACAGAGTGCCTAGCCTTTGAAACAGACCAATTTCTAATCACTTTATCTCTCTGATTTTATTTTTCTATGTTTTAGGGGTAAGGGCTTCGGCATCCTGTAAGGAACTTTCTAAACAACGTCAACGTAAATGATCCCCATCTTTGATCACAGTCAAAGAGATTATTTTGTGTTACTAACCATTACGTCTTTGGTAAGCGGCATACTATATCATTTGTAAAATCTTTTTGATTCGATATTGGATATAGTAATCGAATCATAAATCATTGGTAATGTTTTTTAAAAGAAAGACGTTCAAATTAAGTAGTAACAATTTTATACCTTAAATGTTAAAAAAAGTTAAAAAATTATTTATGTACTTTGATTTATTTTGACTATTGTATTCGATGAGATATTTTTTCTTTGTACATTTTATATGTATAGTTTATTTTATAATAAAATTTATAAAATTGAATTATATATACAATATATTAAATACTACGTTAATTACTATCATTATCACTACTGCCAGAGTATGCGCCCAATAAAGACAGACCATTATTACTGTTTCCTGTTGAATTATACATACTCTCAGATGTGTTTATATTTAAATTTGTACTTTTTTCCATAGAAGCATCTGCTTTTTCTCTTGTCAGAGTTTCTGTTTTTTCTTTATCAGTACTAGTAATTGTAGAGTTTGAGTTCATTTTAGTATTCACTAAATTTGTTTTCTTTTTGACTATGCCCAATAAGTTTTTTCTGTTTGATGATGATGGTGTACTTTCAGACCATAACGATGTTTCAGATGCTTTTATTCTTTGAGTTTCCTTAGGCTTCAATAAAAAATTAAAAATATTTTATAATACTTGATAGTTATAAATACATTTATAAATATTTAATAATTATAATTAATCAAAGAATCAAAGTATTTACCTTTTCTTGTTCTGCTACAGATTGAACCTTATCATTTTCAATTTTATTTTTACTTTTCTTTGTCATCTTTTTTGGTGGTTCATCATTTTCAGTCTGATCTAATTCTAAAATTTCTTCTTCTACAATAATTTTTTTACGAAATACTGCTTTAACATATTGCTCATCATATTCTTCTTGTTCCTTTTCTGTTCTTTGTTTGACTGCTTCTGTATCAAATTGTTCTAACATCTGATCATAATCAATAGTTTGTTGCCTACGATTCAAATCTTTTAATTCTTCTAATGATTCTAACAATTCCAATTCCTGTTTCGATTGCAATGTTCTTTTTTCTAAGAGTTTCATTGGATTGGTAGCTTCTTCCTCTTTTTCTTCATCCTCCTCTCTTTGAGCTTGTTCTTCTGCCAATTTCAAGGCCATGAAATTTCTCGTGGCACCTGCTTCGATCTCATAATCCGTGTTCTTAGGGTCTGTTTTAAAGCTTATTTCTTGGAGGCATCTAGTACATTTTATATAAAACCTGTAAATTCGTATTCCTAAATAATCATCACCTTCAACATCTTCTTTACGGGCATTAAATTTCTTTCCTTTGTAAATGTATTCACCGCAAGTTTTGCATCTCATATTGAAAGGGGCCATCAAACGAACTGTATACTGCCTATTTCGGGCCAATTTCATACGAGGGATTTTCGACGGATCAAAATCCGGCGGATAATATTTCTGAAATATAAAAATTAATTGATGTTAATATACATATACAATGAAAATAATAACATGAACATATCATTCTTCCATTTAATTTAATATAATTAATTGCAAAATTTTACTTACGTTTAAGACTTTACGTTCCGACATGTTTTCAGTTTAATATAATAAAACTATTAACATAAAATATTTTATTTACTGAAAAATATATAGCTCGTACTTAGGCTAAATCATTGACTAATAACAAAATAGATGTGACACCATAGGGAATTTTGTGCTTCCTATTCTAGAACATCAACTTTGAAACAAAATCAAAATTTGTTTTTTTTTGTTCAAGTTTCGAATATAATTTGCCAGTAATTAAATATTCTTTATATTTTGAAATTGACTCTTCAATTTATTAAATTTTCGTAAGAAATTGTGGCCATTTATCAAGTATTATCAGTTTCGTAAGAAAATGTTTTCATTTATCAAGTAGATGCCACTTTTCATGAATTTTGTAGATTTGGAACGAAAAAGCTGAGAATTAGGAAGATGCAATCATAAAAGTTAACAAATAAATGTTCTCAATTAAATTTTTTTAAAATTAAAATTTAGTTGTTTTACGGACACTGTTTAGCTATCTAACAGTATAGCTATCTAACGGTGAATGGTGGAACTAATTTTCAAATATAAAAATTACAAATATTTTTATTTTTCACACATATTTCACAATTTTGGCATTCTTTGGCGTTAATAAATAAAACATGGTAAAATATTATTTATTACAAATGTTAATTTCAAAAATCATCGTTTAAAATACAATTACTGGAAATTTAGGCATTGAATTGTTTATGAAATAATTGCAAAATGCCATTGAAACTTTAATTTCAATATAAAAACCAAAATTTCAATATAAAGAGTATAATTAATAGATATTAATAAAATTTTTTGATTTAATTAATTTTTCGTATTAATTAATACCATAGATGAGATTTCATCTGTTAATATTTGTAATAGCATAATCATGTCCAAAATAAAACATTTTGACCAATTGTATTTAATTAATTAATTATATAGAAAACTAAAATAATATTACACAGAGAAAATTTCTGAAATTTAAAACTTTAATTTGATTCCTGTACAAGTAAAAAATTTTGCTTAAAAAACTCTGATTTTTTTAGTTTCATTATGAAAAGATCAGTTTCACCTTTTTATCACTAGATGGCTGTAGTATTTCAATGTCCATGAATTGATTAAATTTTCATTTCTAAAATTTCTGATTAAGAGATTTAATTTGTAAATTTTTATAGTTCTTTCAATCGTTTAAATCTTATTTCTTATTTCTTAATCTTATTTCTTTATTCCATTAACGTATTGAAAAGTGATAAAATGAGTAATTATAAAAAGATCTTTATTCACACACTGCCTGTGATACCAAAATGGTATCATTATAAAATAGTTAATTGATATTATATTTGTTAATAAAAAAATTTTATTAGATACAATGCAAATTATTCCAAGAAATAATATCATTGGAATTGAAGAAATAGTATTTTGTTATTTAATGAAATAACTAAATTAAGGTATGTACGTTTCATATACCAAAATTTAAAAAATAAAATTGCAAACATTTCATTAAATCTATTGTCTCATTTAACAATTGAAAAGAATTAAAGAAAGGAGTTTTGTATAGTATTTTTTTAAAAAGTTTTAATTTAAGTAGACTACAGCGCCAATGAAACGGTGAAATACGCAATTACGTATTACGATAGTCAATCATAATCGATAGTTGTCACGATCACTCTATAATACTGATCACGTGACGTTGACGCAGTAGTTTTTGGCGGTAAGCACGCTAAGAAGCAGGATCGTCCAAAAATTGTCAGGTAAAAAGACAGTTAATAGATTTTATTCTTGCTTTCGCATTATCGAGTACTTTTACGTTTTAGAATAATATGAGCATCATTAGAAAGCATTATTAATTATTATATATGTATATATTCACTTCATTAATCAGTGTTGGTTAGAAATGAACACACAGTATTCCTATCTAATATTTCTGGAAATATTCGATCAAATTAAATTATCGCGCGTAAATATACCTAAATATTTATCTATGTATACGTACGATTGAAATATTCTCATTGGATGTTTTGTTTTCTTGTAATCTTATTAGTTCACGATGCCAACCTATTACGCAGGGGGGGGGGTTAGTCTCTTGTTGTGAATCGTAGTGTTAAGACGTATCGTATTCTGCGTGACATTATTAATTTATTAATTTATTAACTGCGTAATAATTTCATCACCATCTTTTCACCGTTCGCAGACTATTTGCTATCGTTAACATCCTTTCGTACGTTTGTAAGTACTCAATAATTTATCGGATATTATTATGACTAAATTATTTTTCTTTCTTTGATCGTCTTCTTGGTGGCTACATTCGCCATTAGTTCTTACGAACTTTCAGAACTGTATTTGATCTTAATCATTGTTTCACTTTTATATAACTTATTTCTTTTATACATTTATTTGGAAATTTTGCTTTTGTTTTGTGCAGATTATTGGTTGAGTACAAGAAAAGTGTCGAAGTATCAGAGGGACGCCATGAAATTCAAAAAGGACGCCATCATTGATCAACGATAAATTCAATGGTTTTTAATGCAGGTACGATTTGACATTTGATTTATTTTAATAAAAGTACCATTCTTTTTAGTGTTCAGTTATTTATAATTATTTTAAAGCATTCTTTTCAGTAATCAGTCATTTCTCTGATATTCTCTGATATACATATATTTTTAACAATCATGGATACATTTGAATATATTCTGTATATTGTGTTTTGCGAAGTATATTTGGAATAAAAGAATTTGTTGGTTAAATGTGAATACATGTATATTTTGCATATATATTCGTTTTACTGGTTCGTGAAACTGTCTGAATCTACTTAGCATAGAAAACTTTTATAAATGCAACTGTTATAATTATATATATAGGGAAGTTCCCTCGCTCTAAAAGGAAGATTTCAATTTTCATGAAAAAAAATTGTTCAGTGATGGAAAAACTTCTCTTTGGCGAGATGTTTGAATTTTTACAATTTTTGAGAACAAAAATATTCTTTCTTTTACACTTGCTGCATGATGTAAAAATAAATATCTTTGAACGAAACAAACTCGAGATTATTAAAG